TCCATCCATCCATCCATCCATCCATCCATCCATCCATCCATCCATCCATCCATCCATCCATCCATCCATCCATCCATCCATCCATCCATCCAACGTATTGGATAACACACAACAATGTCTTTTTCTTCTTTGCATTTCATCCATCCATTGTCTTCCATTCATTATGAGTTGGGTCGTGGGGAGCAGGGAGGCCCAGACCTCTTTCCCTCTCCCAGCTCTTCTGGGAGGACTCCAAGGCGTTCCCAGGCCAGTCGTGAGACAGTCTCTCCAGCATGTCCTGGGTCTTCCTCAGGGTCTCCTCCCAATTGGACATGCCTGAAGTTCCTCCCTAAGGAGGTGTCCAGGAGGCATCCTTACTAGATGCCCTAACCACCTCAACTGGCTCCTCTCAATGTGGAGGAGCAGTGGCTCTACTCTTGAGTCTCTCCATGATTACTGAGCTTCTCATCCTTTCTTTAGGAAGAGTCCACTCTGTGGAAGAAACTCACTTCGACCGTTTGTATCCACAGTCCCCTTCTTTCAGTCACTACCCAAAGTTTATGACCACAGGTGAGGGTAGGAACGTAGACTGATCAGTAAACAGAGAGCTTCTCCTTACAGCTCAGCTCCCTCTTCACCACAACAGACTGGTACAACTGAGGAATACTGCAGAAGCAGCACCTATCCGTCTGTCAATCTCACGCTCCATTCTTCCCTCACTCGTGAACAAAACCCCAAGACACTTGAACTCCTCCACTTGAGGCAGAACCTCACCCCCAACTCAGAGAGAGCAATCCACCCTTTTCACACTTCCTTTACAGACAGTGTGGCACAGGGCTGAAATAGTTTAAAGGGATAGCTCACATTTTTTGAAAAGGGTTCTGTGGRAGTGACAGCTCTCTGTATTAACTGTTTGGAGAAATAGACTTTAATTCTAACCGACTTGATGAGCCAACTTTTGAGTCGTACCAGGACCAAAGTGGACTGCTGCAATCTCAAATCTCCAGTCTCCAAAATTTTGTAGCAGTTCATGCAAATACAATTATACAAACGTTGACACCGCTGTCAGTTTAGTTTTACATTGTTATTTGAGTAGGAAAGGTGTACCTGCCAGAAGTGCCTCAGGCTGCTGAAGCTATTTGTGCTCACAGCTAACTATAGACATTTTAATAATTAACTATGTATGCAAAAGTGACAACGATGGTATCTCACTGGGCTGTTAGAGACTAGTCAGCAACACAAAAGTGTGGGAAAACAGAATTGTTGTTGTTGCAGTGTCGCTGAATTGTGAGCACTTGTGACCAAATGACCAGTGAGCCTCATTTTGAACGGACAGTTTTTGAGACAACCTCAACGATTTTGTGACTCTTTCGAATGAAAAGTTGCAATAATTTTTTACACATTCAAACTCAGTTGACAGGGMGGTGGTTTTTGCGACGCACGCGAGGAAATTGAGAACCCTGTGAAAGTTGCAACTCGTGACGTATTTGTATGGCTTTATTTTTTGCAGTTAAATGTTCAAGTCAAGGAGAGGAGCACCGAGCAGACTCTGCCTGGTGGCATTAATCGTATTAATCGTCAAGTGCCAAAAAATAATCGATTAATCTTTTTCTGGTGATTAATTGCATACCATACAATTATGCCCAACCCTRTTTCTTACTATAACACTTTTGGGGTTGGAATTGTTTAAAGATGGCAGCACTTTAATCATAACCCTGGTTGGACCAGCCTCTATCAGGGGTGGGCCATCCTGGTCCTGGAGGGCCACAGCCCTGCATGTTTTACTTGTTTCTCTGCTCCAACACACCTGATTCAGTCATTGAATTACCTCTTCCAAGTTCTGCAGAARCCTGATAATCACCCATTCATTCAAATCAGGTGTGSTGGAGCAGAGAAACAAATAAAACATGCAGCGCTGCAGGATTGCCCACCCTAATTTAGCTCATCAGTCAGCTCAGAATTACAATGTATTTCTCTGAACTGAGTTCGTTAAAAATGCTACAACAGGAAACGGGTCGAAACTTTRCAGCCAAACCACACTTCAAAAGATGTGAACTGTCCTTTTAAAATTATTTGTACACTTTCTTYAATCTGCATTCTTTACATTACATCACTGCTGTGTGTGTTGGATGAACTACAAAATGACTGTAGCGTGACTAAACTTGACCCAGCGTTTCTATAACATAATGACATTTTTTTACACGGCTGTCTGAGATAATCACTGYGTTGCTTTATTGCGTGAAAGCTGACATCTAAATCCCTCTCCCGGTGGAACAGACACAGTGACTGCCGTGTCCTCACCAGGGGTTAATCGAATGTGCCGTCAGAGGATATCATGACCTCTCTGGCGGCGAAACGTACAGCACACGGCCGCGTCAGGATGCAGTGAACCGGGATTACTGCATAAGATGCCGGTGACCTAGTTTGGGTTATTTGGTTTGGTTTGGTTTCTTTTTTCTTTTGTTTCTGTATTTCTGCTCTGTTAGGAAACATACACAGGAATAATGATATAGATGTGGCTAAAGGAGGACGTCACATTGTGGTGTGGGATCATACAGCTGGGCATACACTTTAGAACGGGCTCATCTTTTATTTAACTTGTGGCCTGATACAGGCAAACATGCATGTGGAGAAAGTGAAATGCACGGTCTGTTAAAATGCTTTTTCAGTGTGCAAACATAATGTGGGGAGGGAGGGGAGCCTGCTAAAAGTATGTGGAATGATTTTCTTTGTAACCAGTGAACTGCAGAACAAGATGCTGAGGAATGCTGAAGTTTCGTCATACAGCCTGTTATGGGTGACACGTTGTTTTCTTCTCAGGATAAATAGGCTTGCAGGAAAAAGTCTGAGTGATGTGGATGGATGGCGATGGGATGAGACTAGTTTTCAGCATGTTACACATCAATGCATCTCCAGACTCTGAAATGAGGACGGGAGTGGTGTAACAGAGGCTGTGTGAGAGTGCAAGTGTGTGTCAAAGGTTCAGGCAGAGGGCACGGGGCTGCAGAGCGCAGCCTCCACTTTGATATTTTCTTCCTCATTTGTTTTTCCATATTTTATACTTTGTAGAGTTAGAAAAAAAAGTAAGTGGACTCTCTGGTTTCAGTGTGACTCTTTGGGAAAACAAGTTTTCTGAGAACAAGGAAAAAGACTCTGCATCCATTCTTTAGATTAGAGAGCTGTAGATACAGAAAAACCAAGAGAATTAGTCTGCCTATGGATTTGTGCCCTTGATCTGTGCGTTTCTATAACATATGCAGCCTTGTTACGACTAAACAAGTGTAGGATGAGTGTCAGACTGAGCCAGCAGCGTGTGCGTACTATCAGATCCTGTCCTTCCTGAGAATAGTTGTAGTCAACATGTCTTCCTGCTGCAGCACAAACACCAGACACACCTAATCTTCMTCTTGACATTGCATGATGCCAGTAAGGTACATTGTTTGGTACAATGTGAAAACACGTGGCTGACGTCCAAGTCGGGCCAGTAAAACGATCACTGTTATTTAACCTTTATACAAAAAATATCAAATCAAGACAGGAGCACAAGGTGAGATCTCACAGTTGGATGGAATAAACAAATCTTACAAAAATACAACCCTATGCTTAAAAAAACCACCCTGCCTAAACTCCAGACAAAAAAAGACATTTTTGGCAGACATAAACCTGTGTATTTAGCATATTTGCGGTTGTTGAAACAATGTGAGACCGTTGGCGAGGTTAGATAGTTTTGGCACCATCAGGAGTGTCGATAGGTGTGAAATCCCCAAAACACTCCCAAAAAAAAGGTTTCCACTTCCTGACTTTAACACATTCCTAGACGAAGGTGTGCATCATATTTACACATTACCTTGAAGCTGTTGAGCAGCGTTCATATTGCATGTTTTATATTTGATAAAGATTTGATGAGGACAACGAGGAGACAGTGCTTTTTTTATTCATATAATATCTAGACAGAAATGTGTGAATTCAAGTGTTAATGGCACAAAACACCCCGATTAAAGAGGTGTGTATAAGAGTGAAATCCTATTCCTCCCACCCCCTTTTTTTAAGGAAAAAGCTTTTTCATTTTTGGATTTCCTTCATAAAATCAGCGTAAATCATTTTCAGGATTTCCAATCTCATTTTCAGTGCATGAATAGTCTTGTGCACAAATTGCATTCAGACTTTTAAAAATGTGTCTGGATTCACTTGTTTTTTTCCTTCCTGCAGTCGGTAAAACGTGACCTTAGTTTCTGATTAAAACGCAGAATTCTTGTTTTAAAGAAAAGCTTTGGACTCTTTCAGTGTGTGGTGTTTTAACTGCCAGCTCTTTTCACGCTTTACATTTCCACCCACATGTATTATCCTGAGTGAAACCACTCACTTCTTCTGCATTCTGCTCACTGTAATATGTAATGCATTTTCATGCTGGCTTTGAAAAGCAATAATAATCTGAATGTCATATACACTGCGCCTACATTCCCTTTTTATTTTCATTATTTACTCCTCTGTTTTCTGTCTTATTTCCCATTAATGGCATTTCTTTTCTCCAACTGATGCATTCTTTTTTTCTCTTTGCTTCCATCACGTCTCAGGTTAAACGTGTCCATGTGACAAAAGTCCAAACGTGGCAGAAGGCATGAAGCAACACTGTGATGTTCTAGTGGCTGGTCCATGACACTAAACTCCACTCGGCCCTCTCCACTATCCACCTGCCTTCCGTTCTCATCGCACCGGACAACCAGTCACTCACTGTCCCATTCATACAAAGCTGCAACATGGCCAGTAAGAGGAAATCCACTGTGCCCTGCATGATACCATCCAAATCCAAACATGTGCGTGAGGAAATCATCCTGGGCTCGCTCCCAGAACTCCTACCAACAATCCCAGAAGATGGCATACTCAGCATCTCTGGAGAGGAGTCTGGCCATTTCTCTCACACCTCCTCCAAATCCGAAAGTGGCAGTGAAACGCAGAAGGGAGGCACCTATGGCTGCGTCGCTTGCCGATTTGAGTCCAGAGATCTGAACTACTTTCTGGATCACATGCACAACTGTCATTTAGACTTCAGGGCCCAGCCCACCTTCTACTGCCTGAACTGTGGGGTGTCAGTCGTCCGCTTCGAGGCTCTTGCATTGCACAATGCCAACGCTCACCCCAAGATAATGGAAGGCTTGGTTACTGCCTCCCTAAGCGTCAGCAAGAGAGATGGAGCAACAGCCGTGGAACAAAGCCTCTTCACGGACAGTGGAGAAGACAACAAAGAATCTGGGATCTCCCTCACTAAAACACCAATTGCCAAGATGATGAAAGCCAAGGGGGAGCACAAAAAGATTGTGGTTTCTCACACCGTGGAGCTACGCAAGTTAGACTCTGGAAAGGATGTCGACCCCAACATGCTGACTAATGTGCCTGAACTCCAAAACGGGGCTCTCAGTACTTCTGGTGCCCCACCTATGCCGAGGACCACTGTCACTCATGTGATTACGACAGTGTCCAACCAAGTCTTTCACCAGCACACTCCCTCCCTTTACTCTCCCGTCTCTTCTGACTCAAACAAAGATCTTCCAAAGGTGATGATCCCTCTCAGCAGCATCCCCACCTACGATGCCGCCATGGACACCAGCAGTTTTCTCAAGACATCCTTTGGCAAGTTTCCCTACCCGACCAAAGCCGAGCTCTGCTACCTAACAGTGGTTTCAGAGTTCCCAGAAGAACARATCAAACTGTGGTTCACTGCCCAAAGGCTGAAGCAGGGCATTAGCTGGTCTCCTGAAGAAATCGAAGAGGCCAGGAGGAAAATGTTCAACACTGTTTTCCAAGGGGGAACACCCCAGAAGCAACCTGTGACGCCACGGCAGATCAATCACATCGTAACCCACCACACTGTCACTGGCCATCCTGGCATCAAAGGACCAAACCTTCAAGCGGCCAAAGTTCCCTACAGCAGTACAAAACCCAGGTCTGTTGGGTCCGTTGGCATCATAACCACGCAGGCCAACATTACAACCAAGCCCCGCGTTACAAGGGTCTCATATCCTTCTCCACTTGCCCCACAAAAGTTTCCACCAATTGTCCGGACAACACAGGAACCGACCAAGAGTGCTGAAGCCACTGTGGAGCCAGACAAGAGCAACGGCCTGGACTTGGCAGCAAGCAGCGGTTGTGTCAGTAGCACTAGCAGCAGTCGAAGCAGCAGTAGCAGCAGCATCAGCAGCAGCTATTCCGGCTGTAGTAACGGTGTTGAGAACAGGAAACTGGTGAACCACAGCAGCCCAACCAACAGCACTGCCACCTTCCCGGCTATCATTAGCAGTAACGGTGAGCACTGTGCCGCGGACGCCAACGGCAAGCCCGACACGAAAAGCAACAGTGGCTCAGAAAGTTCAAACGGCGGTACAAGCGAAGCGGTCACCGACAACACCAGCAACTCCACCTGCAACAATCATAACAGCGGCAGCGTCGGTGCACCAGAACTGGCCCACGCTGAGCAGCCTGACAGCGAAAACAACAATTACACACACAAAACCAACAGCAACAGTATTAGCAGTGAAAATCCAAGCTCCATCTGTAATGACAGTGTCCCCAACCATAATTATGCCAGCAAATCCCCAACTGAAAGCACCAGCACCACCATCAGTACGAAAGGCAACTCATCCATTTTAGATGAGACCAAATGCAACAAAGACTTCCCTATAAAAGGCATGTCAATCTTAAAGCAGCTCATTAAGGAAGAGGACCCAAGTGTTGGAAACAGAGGGTGTCCAGAGCTCAGAGGCGACCCCATTAAGATCAACTTTAAAAGGCTGAAGATGAACGAACAAGAGGCAACAGCTGAGGTTGTGCATCAAGAATCAAAGTGTGAGATCGAGGTATCTGCCTGTCATACATCTTTCTCGCCACCCTGGGGCAACAAGACCACACAGCAGCTGCAAATCCTCCGGCAGGCTTTCTCCAACACCCGCTGGCCCAGCAGCCTTCAGTACGAGGAGCTGAGCATCCAGACGGGCCTCCCTAAGTCAGAGGTGGTCCGCTGGTTCAGCGACAGCCGCTACAGCCACAAGAACGGGCAGCTGAAGTGGTTGGAGTCTTTTCAGCGGGCRCCTGCTGAGCCAGAGGAGACAAGGGCCCACGGGGACCCTGAAACTGAATCACTGAAGGAGCCTCCAGCAGCCAAAAAGATACTGTTTGAGCAAGAAAAGAACAAGCATCTCGAAGGAGACGCCGGGCTGAACCCAGGGCAGCGRGTCGCGTGGCAGGATTCCTGCGCACCGCTGCTGGCCCTGACGAGGTCCGAGGGGGGCGGTGAGCGCGACAGAACCGAGGAGACAGAGCGGGACCCCTGGTCCAAGAGAGGAGAGGACCACCAGCAGCCAGCGACAAGTCAGTCACTCATCGAACAGCAGACTGAAGCCAATCAGGCCAGGTACTTGACTCAAAATAACCCATTTGTGATTTACTAAAGTTAGGAACACTTCTCATTCAGCGCGCCTTGTGATGTTTACCGAGCCAAGTGTTGTTTATCAGTCAGAGAGGGAAAAACGATGTAAGCCAGGGGGTGGGGGTGATGAAAGCGTGACAGCTTGCWGTTTGTAGTGGCTGCTGCGTGATGTACAGTAAAAAGGAAGCAGGAGAAGCGTGCTCAGGTACTCATGCTGAGGAGCTTATTCAGGCAATCAAAGGCCTGTGTTTAAGAAGCTATTTTTAGACAAGTCTGGGCACTAAATTATAGATTGAGAGCAAATGCTAATATGTGTGAATAAATCATGACAATTGTTTTTGATGAGGTGGATTAAGATGCAAGTTGACGTGTAAACAAGTGTTTTTGCTATGCTACCTTTTAGAAACGCTCTATGCACGTTCTTACATTTTATTGTTGTTGTTGTGTGTTTGTGTGTGTTTGTGTGTGTTAGGGATCGCCCGAGGATGGAGCTGCTGGAGGTGTGAGGAAAGCAGACCCGATCCAGCTGGAGGAACGTGGCTTTGCTCCCCTGGTCACAGTCTTGAAAAAAAGAAAAGAAAAAAAAGTGTGTTCATAATGACAGCAGATGTGATTGTAGCTGGACCGTTGGACTCTGACTGAAACTGTGAATAATACGCCCCTCCCCTTCTGTCCTCCTCCTCTTCTTCCATCTGCCATCACTTCCTGCCATCGTCAAAAAAAAAAAACAAGAAAAAAAAAACAAGAAAGAACTTCTCACCTTTGAGTCCTGTGATGTTTTAAGCCTTTCATGCTTCTTTTGTGGTTATGTGGGGAGGGTGCACAGTGAGGTCAGAACAAGGGATCAAAGAAAAGAAAGAAAAGACRCACACTGACTGGAAAACTGACTTGAATGAACGAAGATAGGTCGGGATAGGGCCAAGAGATATTGTTGCTGGGGCCATAGGGAGAAATATATAAATATAAATATATATATAAAAGGTAAAACTGCACTATAAAATATGGTTTGTACTGACTGGACAAACGACAACAAAAAAAAAATGTGTCAAGAAAATGTTATTGTTGGCTTTGTGATATTTTTTACTTTTTTAGCAACCAGTACTTCAGCACTGCCTTGAATTTTACTTTTTCCGTTATTTGGATTTTTTCAATTCTATCTACTCTTCTATGGTCACTGTAAGTCCAGATGCAATCAAACGTRTTTTCATTTAGATCTGTAATGATGTTGGTGATCACTTAGCATTTCAGCTACACACAAGAGACTATACACGATGCACTAATGAAGACAGCAATGCTTAAAAATAAATAATAAAAAAAACACAATCACTCTGCTTCACAGCAAACGTATTGACAGCTTTGTCGAGATCAATACACAACACTGCCCTGCAAACTGAACAGAGAAGCCTGTCACGCTAATGTTGCCTTACTCAGCTCTGTCCGTGTGTTTATATGACCTGTCTGTCCATCACCTTGCTTTCGAGCTACTGTGCTGTTCAAAAATAAAGAAGAAAAAAAAATACATGCCAGTGTATTGATAGTCACTGTTGGTCTATATCTGTAAAAAAAATAAATAAATAAAGTAATCTTGTGCTGCTTTCTGTACACTTGGAGATGTTCAACTTTAAGCTGTTTCAAAAATTGTACCTGGCAAAAAAAAAACTTGAAAAAAAGTTTTCAAAAGTAAAACTAAATTCTCTATTTGATCCCAAGACACTGGCGGAGTGAGATATTGTGCTTGCTAGAGAGCCAAACGAGGAGGTCTTTGCTCTCCTCTGAATTTTCTTGTTTCTATATAAACATCCAGTCACTACATGAATCTTACTAAGCTGCATCTTTGTCAAGCTGCTAATAGCTCAGAACGGTGCTATACCATCCAAAGTGAAATTGGAGGCGCGTCTCCTACCAGCAGTGTATGCACTTGTGTCGAATGTTACAAATTTATTTTGGTTTGAGATCAATGAAATCTGGACTTGTGGTGTYAATGATCACAAAAACCTTTTATGAGATAAAAAAAAAACAGTAGTCTGATCATAAAGTACTGTTGTATCATTCTTTGTACACTTCTGAGTCTTTACAGAATAAATTGAATACTCACCAAGCAGCAAAGTTTTGTTGTTTTCTCTTTTTTTCCCCCTCATGGCCTGAAGCAGTCCCACCAGGACAATAATTCAGAGCAAGCTGAGAAACGCCTGTAGAGCCACCTGCTGATAAGCAGCTGTTAGTACAGTTTGTCCTGAGGAGGAGGATGTTGCAACAGAGGAGCAACTTTCTCATTCTTTAGACCCATTTCAAGGTGTTGATTACAACTAAAGCCTGGTACTCACATAGGAAATGTACATTGCTCACCTTTAGGGCTGCCATGATTAGTCGACGACTAATCGATTATTAAAATAATCGATGACTAATTTAATAATCGATTAATCGTTTTCTTTTTTGTTGTTGTTCTTTACTTTGTTTTTCTCTCCAAACTGCTTTGACACATCTGCCTTTCTGTCCTTGACACACATGCACAGTAGTGGTAACTGGGGTAGGC